TAATTAAATTGCGCTTGTCTCGGCAAAAAAGAATATGTAAGTGAACATTCGCAATAAAATTCGCATAAGTATGTTTCAAATATGCACATTAGAGTACATATGTACATAATGTGTACTGTTTAAATTCTTGGAACGAATGACCATGTCTCACTCTTGAAATATTCGCATACTTCAATCTTACAAACCAGACCAGAATTTCCTGTGTGCACATATGTCCGTAATAAATATGGCAAACTTGTCATCCACTCTGGAATTGTTTTATTACACAAAAGCTCATGTAAGTGGCATTTCAAACAAATAAGTGTAACAGGACTTTCGAAGCAATTCATAGAAAGCGACGCCACGAAATAACAAAGTTGACAATCCATATCAAAGTGTGTCATTCAGTAGATACACATACGACATATGTATGTAAAAATGTATACAAAAACTAGCTAAACAACCAAATCAAACTAATCCGAGGTTGCCTTCATTTATTTAATTGTTCATCATTCTGATTAAGATGTCATCAATAACTATTGTAAAAAATGAATAAAAACAAGCTTAAAACAGGATCCAAGCAAATACGACAAGTTTAGACTCTTTATTTTTTCTCTCACTCTGACCACAAAAATTTGGTTGGAATCACTGGAGCACAACTTATACACATCATGACCATCGTCTAATCTAACACACACCTGGCCAACTTCTTTTTTAACTGTCTTCATTTTATCCAAAACCCATTTGCATTCCTCCCTACGATGTAGAAGAATATTAAAATGTCATAAAATTACTAGAGTCCCACCACCACCTGCTCGTACATACGTATAATAATAGGAGAAGGTAATAACCCATGCTATGCAGTCACTTAGCATGTTCAAATTGCCTTCATCTCTAATTATATTGCTTTCTCCGAGTGTATTACTCGAATTTCTCGAAGAGAAGTGCCGACGACCATTATATTATTATGGCTTCAAATTCTATTCTTCCATTTTCTTTTATTTTATGAGCCTAACGAAATTAAATCTGTAGAAGAATGGCCCGTTTCATAAACTGCATGACTTATAGTTTTAAATTTGTTTTTCTACGGGGTATGCAATATGCATACATATTTATGTACACAGACAAACGACGTTGGTTGCTGTCCCGTATGTTGAAGGCTTGTGTGATAATAATGAGTGATGAATGGGTTGGATTGGAACTTGATCTCGGTAACAAATTGCAGAATGAATTCTTCTCTACTGCACTTTACTCACATTGCAATGAGCTGACGACAAATTTGCAATTTGATGAGAATAAAATGAAATACGAGATTTAATATGAGGGTTTGCTCTGTGATTTATGGGAGGCTTTAACACCACTACATAAATAAATTCACTCTCTCTCGACTGTAGTACACAACAATCAACTCATTTCTATATTGCATCTACCAAAGTATATGTACATACATTCATATATGAATAACACTATATGTGTTCCAGCATAGAATTACACCAACATAAAAAGTAAGATCAAGTTGCATCTTAATAATTCATTTCAGCACATTTTTTATTAAAGTGACATGACCTCAAAACAGAACTTGTACATAAAACCAAGTCCCGTCTTTTGAAAACTTGCAAGCAAATGAAAAACTTGTGTACTTGGGATTAGCTTGCGATTATTGCAATCAGAAGCAGTAAATGTGGGTACACCAAATCTGGAGTAGCGCCAACAATGACAACACCAGAACACCACTGATTATTATGTATTTATTATGTATGTAGAAAGTCAAGTAACGCTGAGAAAATTGATTCTCGTCGAAGGAAACTTTCTCATCGGCCACCTGTTCCTACTGAGGGTTAAATACATCCCAAATCTGAACCATAATCATCATCGTTGAACCTCAGGTCTCGTGTCTCTTTTCATTTACGTACCAACGTGCTACCTTTTCCTCTAAATATAAAAACCCCTCATCTCCTCAGTCTTACCCCAGAATGAGGATGAGATGAGACGAGATGTACTTGAGAATAATAATGAACAGAGAACATCTGCTTTCCAGTTAAAATGTACACAGTTGATATGATTTCAGGTTTTATTTCTACCACCGGGAGAAAAGAGATAATTTGTGGAGATGATTGTGATTAATTTTAAACTGTGGTTTGGCCTGCTCCCTTCGTGTGGTCGTCCAGGTCGGTGGCCAGATGTACACATGGGGCATACGGTAGCCAGCAAAATAGGTACAAGTTAAAAAGGTAACGACTATAGAAGACTAAATAATTATCGACTCTCAGAACAGAACAGGCTAATCTACAGAAGTTGAGGTAGGTCTGATACAAAAGTGTATTCTTTTGTTTCGTAACTTTGTAATTAGCGTAAACTCTAACAACAATACAAAAAATGCACCATTCACTCAAATCTTTCCAGTTGAAAAAGGAATAAAATTGTCGAAAATTTTCCCCAATTTTGTGCATGCAACTCAACAATTTGAACCAAAATCAATTCTTCGTAACTAACTTGAAGGGTAGTTATTTTGCTTCTCTCTTCTCCCATGTAATAAGTAAGCCTGGTTCATAACGTTTTCAAACTTTTGAAAGAAAGGGTGTGTTGTACATTGCATCTTGAAAATAAAGGGAAGGAAACCAGAAAGACCACCAGAAACGACTTTGTGTGTTCTACTTCTGTCTTGTTCTTGTATTTTTGAGCAATGAGTAAATTCACTCCCTCACACATCCATCTATTTGTGTTGTATCTGCTTCTCCCTCAAAAAAGTATCGAATTTCTTAAACCTCGAGAAACTATCGATGGATGGATAACTTAGACAGTAAGCAACCCTCTCTTACTCACTGGAGTGATTATGTGACAGTACCATGACGCGAAAAATCACACTATAACTTTACGAAGGAACCTATCCAACAAAAACTATCGATCTTTCATAATTTCATACATGGTTTAAATTATGGTTTGTTTGGATTTCAAATATGTATGCAAAGTTGAACGGTCGAAGGCTGTACCCAGCTGTAAAATATGATGTTTATGTTCAACAACGCCATTCTGATGGTTTAAATCTGTATTAACTATATTTACGTTACTACGTACATTTTTTTTGAAAGGATTCTTCGGGATTACAAAATGTACGTACTCCGTAGTGTAAAATGCATACCACCCGCATATTCTCAAACTCTGTACAACAAATCATCCATTCAAACTGCATATATATTCCGAAACATGAATCTCCCCATTTTGCAAAAATTGGAACAAAAATATTAGTGTTTAGGAGCTCTCAAGACTCAAAAAATGAGCGAAATGAGCAATGAGCAGAAAAATAAAAAATCAGATTTTTCTGCTCAAACCTTGAACGGACCACTTTTTTTATCGATCATAATTCTTGAGAATTGTGATCTTTATTTGTGGGAAGTTCAATTATTTATTTATCATTTTCATGGTTTTAAATTCAGTTTCATAATTCATAAAATTCCGAAAATAGCTGAACGCCATGAGAATGAGAAATATGAGAATTTGTATCATTATGTGATCTTAACACGGCTGGGTTTCAACAACAGACATTGTGAAAAAATTGCAGGAGAATTAAAACGAACAGCATTATCTCAAATAATTCATTTTATGCAGCAGCAATAAACAATTTTATAAGTCATATATTTAGGATTTAGATTTAAGAGTTTCCAATTGAATTTTGAGTTCCAGTATTTTTATTTCGGCTTCGCATTGAAAATTGAAAATAATTTGATTTGATGTAATTGGAGGAAAACGACCGAACTTTTGTCCAGAGTTTCGTCTTTCTCAGGGTCAATCCCAAAACCCGTTAACTTCTCTTTAGTCTCTGTGTACGTTTTAAGAAATCATTTTTTAATTGACTTTCTTCGCAGTTAAGGGCCAAAGCATCTTGGAGACGACGAAGAAATTCCGTGCGTTTGGTCATCTGCTCAAATATTTTTTGCGATAAGGATATGGTCATACAAAATTACATGTTGATAACAAACCATCATTTACCTTAAACGCGGTGTAATTGTCGACGACATAATGTGCCATTTCAATTTTTATCTGTGGTGTCCAGCGAAAAGTTTTTCTGCCGTCTACCTCTGCAACGCTACGTTTTATACGACAAATTACAGGATTTGCAACTTTTTCGACACTGGTACTCTTAACCTTGGTCTTAGGACCCATAATGATAAAGAATATGTTTTAGAAAACTGCTTAATTTTTAAATGAAAAATTTAAGTAAACAAACAGCTGATGTGCTGATGTGGAGCAGAATGAGCAGGATTATGAGAGAGAGAATCAACCCAAAACTCGATTTTGTTCTTGAGCAAGAAAATCTGATTTTGAGCGAAATCGCATGCGCACAGCCGAGCAGAAAAGATCAGAATGAGCGATGGTGGAGCGATGAGCAGAAAAATCTGATCTTTTTTAGAGCTTTGAGAGGACCTTTGAGAGGACCGAAACATGAATCTCCCCATTTTGCAAAAATTGGAACAAAAATATTAGTGTTTGTAAAATCTGTCTTCCTCGTCGCGTGTTTTGTTTTACATTAGCATAAATCCCCTCCCCTGATTTGTTTTGTTTTAAGAAGGGAAAAAATGTTATGATATGATTTTGCTGCTGGCCCACTGATCCATATTCCACATTCTTTCAACTTATCAAGTCTGCTGGGCATATCAAGATGCATCTGCATATGAGTGTGGTTTAAGTGAGTGAAGTGAGGGTGGGATTGAGGGAGGGTGACCACCATGCAGTCGTCTAGCTAAAACTACGAATTACTTGCATTTGGTCTGGTTTCCTTAACAAAGACCACACACGCACCGCCAATAAATAATTACTTACTACACATGTACCTATGTATGCATATAGCCAACAACAACAAAAAGGAACGGGACATGCTTCGCTTCAGGGGATGAACATATCAGTTAAGCAAAACAGATGAGTGTCGTATTTACTATCACCAAATTGTCAGGAAGTGATGATGAGTACAAATGCGTGTGATTTTGCAGAGACAACTTAAACCAGAAGAATAAAAAATGTCTTACCTGGATTAGATGTTAGATGATTCCTTTGAATGTAGCAACTCGGGTTGAATGTTATTTTTCTTGCGAGAAAGTACATACACACCTGAAATAGTAATAAATCAAAAATTAGCTTGGCATAAGAGAGAATAATTCAAATTGGATTTAAATATGTATGAACATACTGAATTTATATATTGATTCTGATAATTAAATATTGATTTTTGTATTAAATATAATTTTTAAAAATCGATCAAAAGCCAAAGCTTTGTTTACAAGGGTCGAGAGAGTAACCAATGTTTACCTAAACCTTTACCCACGGTGAAATACTTGAAAAATGTGTTCCTGGTCCAAATATATACATAATCCACCAAACAAGAAAATAAAATGTACGGATATTTTACATATTATGCACCCACTCCCTCAACTCATATCCATCTCAGCCCACAATATACATAGTACTGTACCAAACAATATAATTTGTCGTTCCCCATTTCATTCATAGAACATTACATTCTTACATCATCGCCATTTTAAGAATGTGTGAGTATTTTTCTTGGCACTTATAATAATTATACCAGGAAAATTTGCACAAATGTGAATTCATTCATAAAACTACAAGGATGAGGCGGCCTAATGCATAGATATCAGTGTTCTGATCTTTCCTATTAATTTGACCACCACCAAGATCCCCTCTGATCTATGTGTTTGCCACAAAAAATTGTTTTATTTGCAAATAAGTATCCAACTACGCCGACGGGGCCAAGCCCATGGAGTGAGTGCTGTTTAATTGGAGGTGCAGGAGGATTCATGAGCTCACTTCGAGAGGTCGATCCGGTTTTCTATCGTCCTCCTCCTGCAAAAATTCCACGAGTCAATACACGCTCACTCCCCACAGATGCATACGTTCGTATGTACGTACGTATGAGTACATACCCACTTCTTATGTATCAGGTAAAAAGTTAGTTGATGCAAATTTCAACCAGGTAAGAAAACATGTCAATTCTGTTTGTATATATGTACTACGAGTCGTGTGTGTGTATGTATGTATGCAGCTTCAATTTTAAAGAGCCATGTTTTACATCATCCTCCAACTAAAATATTTACATACAATCAGAATCTTAAAACAAACACTGCCAAAACTGCATAAAAATTGTACTATATATAATTCGATTACTTAAGTGAGAAGCTCATCCAAATGGAGAACAACGACAGGGTTCTTCGTTTTAAAAATCGCAACTTTGTGAATCTTGCCAACTTGGTCATTTAGACTTTGCACTGCTTCCAATTCGCAAATAAAAGAAAGCCTTTTCTCGAATAAAGTACCACCAACATCGCGTAACCAAGCATCCACGAACGAACCCCCATCTGAATCCAGCTTCATGTATAGACCACCACGAAAAATTTCGCCATTCGCTTTCTCACCCAGGCAGCAGGACAAAAAATCATGTCTCCATCTACCTCCACAAAAACGGTCCGTTCCCATCTTTTACTGGTTAAATGGATGGATGATGGACTAGCAGGAGCTTGTATCCAACTAACCAATAAGAAGTAGACTTTTGTCGACGTTTTTACAGGATTTAAAGCCTTCTTTAGAAAAGTGATTTAAAATCCAATTTCAAACTAGGATTAGAATCTGAGAGCAGTTGGAGCACATCCATTAAATCAAGGCGGACAAACGGAGTAAGAATATGCACTCGAGGGAGATTTTAATGACGACGATAAGCAAGCGACAAGTAGAAAATTAGCTTCTAATCTGTAAAATGAGTGAACATTAACGTAAAATTCCTAAACTTATCTAAGCGAATCGTAAAGAAATATATTACTTTTGTGAAGTATAACACCTGTCATTTTATGGATGATGCAAATTGGCTATGTACACCGTACCCTCACAGAAATTATTAGCTCGTAAGTAGTCCTCCTACAAGTAAATATTCAGGAGGATACCAAGATATGTAAAATACGACTCTTGCTTAAGGGAGCCTTCTTTTATTACTTTAAACAGGGGCAAAGCAAACCTAAAAGTGTTTAAAGACCTCCATAAAAATTCCATAGTTTACATAATAGCAACACTTGCATCGTCACATCACATCATGTTTTTTTTCTATCCAGTCCGTGGTGGCGTATGCATGGCATTCAGATCAGATCTTTTTCATCAAGTTTTTTTTGCATTCTGGAACGTTTCCCTCGATTTAAATTTACAATGAGTGAGTCAGTCTTTTAAATTTGGGTGGCTTATTTCTTCATAATGTGAAACAATTAACGTCGTGTGCTAACTATGAGAACAACGAATTTGACACGGCGCCAGAGGATCCTGCAACTTTAAAACTTTTAATGAATAGCAATCTCCAATTAGCGAATGGTGGCTAATGGATTCTTTTAAACTTCCAAAGGAAACCACTTTACTATATATATCCATTTTACAAGTTTGGCAAATATTTGCGCTAAACATTGCCTCATCACTATCGCAGATAATTGAAATGAAATTGTGTAAATTTGTAAATGTTTGCTAATGATATGATAGATACAACCGGGAATGAATAAATGGACCACCCAAATCGAACTCGTGTTCATGGATGGATGCAAAACTTGAGAAAACGCAATAGCATAAATCGTGGCGTTGCATCTGCTAAAATCGGTTTGAATAAGCACCAAAACCGTTTTGAAAGCCATAAAACGAAATAAAAATATCACGGTTTGTGCAGCCATACGTGTTCCTATCGGAACGTATGTTTAAGTTGTTGTGGGGTCTCCTCGTTCCAAAATGAAACCACAAAAGATGGGAAATGCTCAGTCAAGCCTCATTGACTTTGCTGATTGAATTTTTCTCTCAAGTGGATGGAATACCCGTGCTTCCTACACATGTGCATACATACATAAGCAGCAAATCAATGCAACCCTCCAGTCCTGAAAAAGGTGAGGCTCCAGACCATTGCGAAAATATTTTTACGGAATAATAACCTCTTCACTTAAAGCTACGTGCGTACCCTTGCAAAAATTATCATTCAAAGATCCTTCTATAAACGCGCCTACATATTTAACTTGGCATATTTACGATTTCCTCCCAGTCCCTTAATTCCCAACATTCCATTCTTCTTACGCTTTCTTTTACCACGAGATAAAAAGAGATACGAATAAAGTATGTGTATGCACATTACACAAAAGGATGATGGGCTCGCACTGTCAGTCTCTCTCCTCAAGTTGCGTTTACCATCGTCTCAGCGCTGTGTTTACTGTGGATGAAGTTCTAACCCTGCAGACTTATTACACCGCTTTGTAGTATTAATTTCACGACGTCACCGGTCAAAAAAATTTTTTCCTCCAAACTGGTCCAAAATAAAAGTCTAGCATGGGAATAGTATAGAAAAATTATTTTTAGCGTTCTATGACCCCTGGGTCATGAATTAAGGGCCCCTGAAGGGTCAAATAGCGTTCCCTGATAACCCCATGCAAATGGGGTATCAAATTAATCCCCTGGACCAGGGGAACCAGAAAAATATTTTTATAAATTTTTATGACCCTTGAGTCGTGAACTAGGAGCCCTTGAAGGGTTAAATATCATTCCCTCACAACTAAAGGCAAGTGGGGTATCAAATTAATCCCCTGGACAAGGGGAACCCAAAAAATATTTTTCTGGATTTTTTTGACCCTCAGGTCAAGAGTTAAGGGCCCCCGAAGGGTCAAAATAGTAACCATGGTAACCCCATGCAAGTGGGGTATCAAATTAATCCCCTGGCAAAGGGCAAGCATAAAAATATTTTCCTGAATTTTTTTGACCTATAGGTCAAGAGTTAAGGGTCCCTGAAGGGTCAACATAGTAACCATGGTAACCAGGCTTCATAGCCTGTCTCAGGCAGCATACTTATGTTTGTATAAACTGGTCCCTTTCTCATATACATATCTTTATGCACCATCTTGTTTGGGGAAGGATTGGGTTAATGGTTGGGGTGATGAATATCCCCTAAAAACTGATGCATTATAAATATATGAGGTGATGGGAGACCCCTTATCCTTGCTGGCTTCTCCAGTCGACATTTTGAAATTTAAGTTTTGGAGTTTGTACTTACTGGTATCCGCTCAATTATTAATTTTTAAAATTGAAGATGACGTTGCATAACTTAATTTATGGAACACTGTATGTGTTATATATAGTTCATTGTGTTTGTGGTAAAAGTTGCGCGAATGTCGATAAAATAGAAATAGATAAACAGGTTAAAGTTGTGTGTGATGAGACGGATAACCTGGGTGGATTGGTTATCTGGTTCAAGGAGACATTACCATCCACTTGCAGTGGATTTCTGATATGTAATCAAACGATGTGTATGGAAATTAATGAAACTGTTATGTTCTTCAGTGACACTATCAAAATTGAAGAAGTAGAGTATGAAAATAAAAAGATACGGGTATGGGGAAGTGAAAGCTATGTAACTTTTTATTTTAAAAGTTTCGTGGATGCCAGCCGTTATCTACTAAATAACATCACAATTTCAAACGCCAACCACACATTTCCATCCAATAAACTATCCGACTTAACTCAGGAAAAAATTAGTGACACTTATTGTAATATAGCGGCTGAAACGAAGAACTGTACCACCAAGCAAGCAGTAACTAAAGCTATTCAAGGCACTACTCCTCTTCCTTCTGCATGCACAGTTCTAATTCTGTGCAACCAAATATCATGCATCAGGTTCAACTACACAAGTCTCCTGCATTCAGCCTTCTTTGCCAGAAAGCACACGTTTATTCCTACCAACGAAGGTAAATTGCCATCTTGCTTTCATCTTCGTCAAGATGCATTTTTCCATCCTGGATCTCTCCGACGCCCACGTGGTATTATACTTTCCTTGGAGAAAGCTAAAGTTAAAAAGGCGCCAAGCGGATTACCTTTCAATCTCCCTGGATATAGGTAATTGGTTATTTTGGATGAGTTTTTTTATTTTTGAAGTTGCGATTGGAATCTTTATGAAATGATTCTTTATTAACATAATTTTATTATTGGTATTAATTAAGATATTGCGGGCCTGCCACCGATATTGAGAAGCAGGATGATCTCGGTGGCCCAATAAATGCTGTTGGTAATTGTTGCCCAATTTATGCTCATACACT